CAAGCAAGCAAGCAAACAAGCAATGTATGAAGGCAGAAATAAACAAGTAAACAAAGTATCAGAAAAAGAAGCAAGGAAGCAACTATGAATGTGAAAAAGAAGCAACTATGAATGTGAAAAAGAAGCAAATATGTATGTATGAATGTATGAAATGTCTGCATGTATGTATGAATGCAAGGATGTATGAATGTATGAATGCATGTATGAAATGTATGAATGTATGAATGCATGAATGCAAGGATGTATGAATGCATGTATGAAATGTATGAATGTATGAATGCAAGGATGTATGCAATGATGTATGTATGAATGCAAGGATGTATGCACAAATAAATGCATATATGTAAAAGCATTCTTCAACAACTGCCAACAATCAATCCGGAATCCTCTGTTTTTTGAGTTCTAAGATACGCCGCATTATCTGGAATTCTCTGGAATTTGCAGCTGCAGAAGAAACGAGACAGAACAATCAAACTCCAAGAACAAAATCAAAACACCAAACAGAAGAAATAGATTTAAGAAAACAGTTTGGAAAAATAACTTAGACAGCCGTAATATGTGATTATTAACATACCTAAGAGTCGCTTCCTTAAACAATAATGACTCAGAACCACACGACATCACCATCACGTAACTGAATAATAAGAACAACATATGAGTAAATATTTCCAAACACTAATTACCAAAAATAAATTCGATCATATCAGAATCGACTCATTTGGTAAAGGTGGAGCAAAATACACAAATTAATTCTATAAAATTTACACAAAAACTGTATAAAATGTTTACCGATGTAAAGAAGAAAAGCTTCTTCGTCTCCTTTTCGTCAAGCAAAGAAGACTATAAACATATCTGTAGCATCAAAAAAAAAAACCCCAGAATAATCAAATCGGTGATTTACAAAAAAATCTTAACCAAGAAACAGAGCACCACAAAACCACTTGATCTTCACCTAAACGACGAAATTTCAAACCTAAAACAGATCATCCATTTTAGTATCACACATCCGATCGGTAAAAAAAATCTTCTGTTTTAGCATCCCAAATCAAAGAAAACACAAATCGGTAAACCCTATCGACGATTGTACTATTGACGATGAAAATAACCAAATCGATGGAGACAAAATTGAAAGCAAGATGATCAACGCATCGACGATACAAATTGATACACGATAACAAAGAGCGAGAGACGTAGTAAAGAAAAAAATCACGAATCACGTAACAAATGAACACAATTCATAAACAGATGAATCGAGCGAAGATTCAGAATCAAAGCGGAATTGACTCGAAAAAACCCTAAATTCGAGAGTTTGATCTCTCATGAAACTGACCTTTAGAATCGATAACTTTAGCCGAATTGAGAGAAAGCTTCTTCTTAGATCATGAATAGATTCGTAGCCCAAGCATGATCACCGGCAAAACAAAACAACGGCTCTTCAATTTCTCTAGATATTTTTGTGAAAATGGGAATCTTAGGGTTTCGGGAAAAAATGAGAGAAATGAAGAGAGAAATGAGACTTGTAGAGACGTTAATCTACTTTAAACGTCCGTTAATAGAAATTTCAAAATTTTTGAGATAGAGAAATCCCCCCCCCCCACCCAACCAACAACCAAACAGAAAAATATAAATGATTTAAATTTTATTATTTCAAAAAAAAATTTGGTTATTTGATTATCAGCACATGTTTGGTAAATATATATTTGTATTAATTTTTTCTTATATTTCTTGAAAATGTTGCTTTTATTTATTTTACAGTTGTTCGAATTTTGAATGGAGTGGACATAAAATTTCTGTTATATATCAGTACGGCTAATACATTAGCCTTTTAATATTTTGTTTTGCTAGTTCATTCTAAACCGACTTGTTGTATAGAAAAGGTAGTTAGTCTGCCTTGATCATCTTGTTAATCAAACTATTTACTGTATATATTTCTCATCTATTATTTAGTCATGTCTAGTCTTTTACTTTTCAAAGAAATAAGTTTACATTCCTTTTTCAAAAAAAAAAAAAATTATGAATCTAACCCTTCATCGATTCTAGTTTTCTTTTCCCAACTCTTCACTCAAATTTTTTTTTTAATTTTAATAATATTTAGGAGATATATGTCTCCCTTAATTCTCTACCAATATAAAACTTTATTTGCCAAGGCTACATTTTGGGTGGTGAATGTCCATGGTTTCCTTAAATGGATCAAAAATGGCTAACGAGCCTAATCTGCCAAGGCAATAAAAAAGACCTCCCAAACATATAGTTTGATTGTTATTAGCAAAGTTATGCTCAGGAATCATCAAGTGAGTAATGTTTCACTTAGTTTTTCATAATAATCTTTAATCTCTGTATTACAAGTTTTTTATAAAATGTGAGATTATCCATCCACCATGACCGCTAAGAGTAGGAGATACAACATTAAACTTAGAAGAAAAATATTCTAATCCAATGCTTGAGTTAGATAAAATCTAAAATAGATTATCTTGTCTCAAGCACTATTGATTTTTTTTTTTAATTTTATTTGTTTATTTAATAGGATGGTAAAATAACTTGAAAACAACTCAGTATGCCAAACTAACATTATCCTTAATTTCCTCCCTAAAACGTTACCCCACGTACGAAACCTTTATTTCCAAAACAAATTCTCATTACATTATTGCTGAGTTTTTTCTGCTCCTATTACTGACTCATGACAAAAGCATGACACCGTGCATGTATATAAATTTGTGATCCCTCTCAGCCTTCTACGTACTATTAACACACAAAAAAAGAAGCAAAAATGACAAAACTCGAAGAGATATGTATTACCTTCTCACTAACACTTTTACTATGCTTATCAGTCGGAGGTGCCCTTAACACAGACCAGAAATGGGCTGGTGGAAACCATTTTGGTTACCAGGGAGGGTTCTGTTTTCCCGGTCTCTGCGTTGGAGGAACTGGTGGTAGCAGAGTCAACTTCGGCACGGGCGGTGGCGGTTATAGACAGACCATGTATTGCAAACCGCTAACATGTTATGGTGGCTCATGTGATGCACTCCATTTGCATTTAGACAAGGGACTGTATGAATCTCTCGTAAGCAACAATGCGGCAAAACACCCATCAACTGTTGGTTACAACATCCCAGAGACCTTCAAAGACAGTGTCAACAGAAACTATGAGTTCAAGGAAGTGAAAGACGCTGCAATGGCACCACAGTCGTCTAACTAGCTAGTTAATGAAATATAGTGTAGTCTTTATTGTAAAGTTTGTATCAATAAACATCCTATATATGAATCTCATCAGACTAAGTTGTTGTCACATGATTATAGTTATTATGTAGAAAAGGTAACTAAACTAGTAATATCTATGTCATCTGTAGTGAGTTACTTAATTAGTACATATTACGTATACTCGAAATAAGAAATAAAAGAGTAAGATCCGTTATCTAGATTCATACTCATCGCAGTGTTATATTTGAGAACAAAATTGACAAGTAGTAAGAGAAAAAAGTGGTATACAACTATATACATATATACCATGCTTATAGAGTTATATGTTTGTTAACTAATGTTACATTATTAGACGTGTAACTTTATATTTGTATTAATTAATTAATTTTCGATTACAACTTTTTTTAACACTACACATTCGTCGTACAAGTTGAACTAGTTTGATGAAAACGAAATTTACAGTTATCTAAAACAAATGATCCATCATCCATTGAACAAGGGATAAACAAAGGAACCGTACGTCTCTTACGGATTTATCTCCGGCTAGAAGTTAAGGCGGTGGTCCGGTGGAGATGGGAGTGGCGGCTTTGACGTGGTGGAAGAAAGCGACGGAGCAGAGGACAGAGGCGATGAGAGCAAAGAATCCAAATCCGATCATAAGAGAGAAACAGGCAACTATCAGATCCATCGCCGTTTGAATGTTCATTATTCCCATCATCTTCAGATTCTTGAGTTGTGAGATAGTTTTGATTACTTTTAGAAATGGTTTAAATTATGAAACAATTAATAGGGTGGAACAGAATGCATTCTAATGGTGAAACTCGCATTGCCACGTTACGTGTTAAACTTAAATTTACGACAAGTGGAACTATTATCTTAAAATAGAGGAAAAAACAACAGTTAAAGTCCGTCAGAACATATTTAAAAAAAACAAAAAAATTATAATCAAAGAAAGAAAAGAAAAGTTGTAATCGTGAGCTTGATGAGTCATGAAGCACTTGAAAGTTGATAGCAAATCAAATATTATGTTATAAAGTATTCCTAGAGAAAATCAAAGATTATATTATAAAGTATTCTAAGAAAGGGTGAGAGGCAGCAACTCGGCGATGCACCATGTTTCTTCTCGAGGAACCTTCTCTTCCTACCACCATATCTAATTTATTTAAGAGCATACTTGATTGATAATCCAATGGTTTTTGAAATTTGTGAGTAATGATTTACCATAATGATAAAGTGACTTTATTCCATATACATCATCATTTGTATATAAGCAATGCAAAATTTTTCACAAAACCATTTGTGGCCGTTGCGTACTTGCGTAGTAGCGGAGGAAACAATACAACTTTTTCATAGTATTATGTTCGGATAACCTAGTATAAATATTAATTTATACCTATGTAAACAAAATATTAGGCTATATAGCTTATTTCATCGACCATTATATCAAAATATTTGATTATAGTTAATATTTTTAGATTTTAATTTACAAGTATTAAGCAAAGTAATCATCTTTCAGCTAGTCGATTTTTCTCATAAATTGGAATACAAACTATCTAACTATACTTATATATTATACTTCAACCTTAAAAAGCAACCAACCAATTCTTGCTTTAAACCGTTTCCTCAATAACTCACACGAACCAAAAGCTTTTTTTGTAATCAATGCGTTGTAAGTTTTGGTTAATTTACTCCCGGTTTGTAAACAGTCTTTTGGTTCAGTCATTAATCATATAATCATAATTTTATTATTCAAGAATACAAAAATCATAATCTTGTGCGCCATTTATCAAAAAAAAAAACCTTGTAAATTCCTCACACCCATCATCCTTTGATTCACAATCTCAAAATTCACAGATGCGATCTTCGTTACAGTTTTATAAACTCTTTCGGACGTAGCAAAAAAAAACGCTTCTCCTTTTATAAAAACAAAAAATAACTTACGCAATGCAGGATCAAAGGGTCCAGGTCTGATCGGCGTCTACGTTAATTAAGAAACCTACTAAGCCCGATCTCACCAATCATCTTCCTAAACTTGGAGTTCTCTTCTCGAAGCTTCGTGTTCTCTTCTATAACCTTCTCGTAACCCTCCCTAACTCCGTTTAGCTCATCAACGAGAGTTTTGTTCTCGTTGATGAGCTGAACAAGCATGGACCACAACTCGTCCATATGTCGTCGTTTCCGCATACGCGATCTCCGAGCTGACTCGCGGTTCGATACCTTCCTTCTCCGCTTCCGCTCATCATCTTCTGCACTACGGCTAGATTTGTCTGACGTGGCAGGCAAGTTTGATAGTGGAACTCGATCAACAAAGGTTTGGAACAAAGACTGTGGGTTAGGGTTTGCACTTGGAAGGTTATTATAGACAAAACCAGCCATATATACAAAACAAACAGTTATGTGTTCTTTCTTAACAAGTATGATGGTCTAGATCCATAAGATGCACACTAATTTGGTATTTATAGATGATTAAATTGAGGGTAGTGTGTGACCTTACACTAAACAGCTAATCCAAGTGGCTATAATACACGTAAAATTTTAATATAATAGTATATTCTCATGTATGATGAAGAAAAAGAGAAGTTGTAATCGTGAGATTGATGAGTCATGAATCACTTGGAATTAGAGAAAGTAAGTAGATGGCATGAAGGGGACCATTGCGAGAGAAAATCAAAATTTTTATTATTAATAATTCTAAGAAAGCGTGAGAGGTAGCAACTCGTCGACGCATCATGGAAGAACTTTCCAACCATATCTAATTTTTTAAGAGGATACTCTATTGATAATCCAATGGTTTTTGAAATTTGTGGGTAATGAGGTAGCACAAAGTCACTTTCATTGCTTATACATTATTAATAGTGTTAAATAATTGACGATGGAGATATTTTACCAAAAGTACTATAGTTCGTGAAGCATAATTGCGAGAGTGAGTTGTGACCGAATAGCTAAAGTAGTAAAATTTGATTTTAGTGCATTAGGCCAATTATCTTAGCCAATTAGCGTGGATTATATTGCAGCTCTATCTTTATTAGGCCGTAATTAATTACTAGTAGAAATTATAATAATATTTTATTTAAGTAAAGATTATGTTTTATATGGAAGTAACAAAGTTTCCTTGATCCACTTAAAGCCAATCATCTTAATGTCATCAGAGATGAAAGTTTAATTGCAAACGAGTCTTTTTATATTATACGTACGGGTGCTTGCCGTGACTGATGAATCCATTAGCTGCTCGAAGGGGTATCTATAATGAAAGTCAACTAAAGCTTAAAGTGATGTATCACATAGTCACAAATATAATGAAACAATTATTTTGCTGATGTTATGGAGCGTTAAGGTTTAATTTGTATTAATTATTGGAAAGCAAAGATTATAATTTTAAACTCTAGTGGTAGAGATTTCTTCTTTCTATTTTACAAAGTTCCAACTAAGTACTCTTGGTTTGTCAGTTTCGAAAATTTTCACAATTCCAAAATCTAAAACTTTCGAGTCCATCTTAATTCATTAAAACTTTCTTACTAATATACACAAAAACATCAATAGTCTCCTTTACTTGTGAAAGAAGCTGCTAATTCTTTTTGTCTTTTTGGCAGATATAATGTGTTTCAGAAAATAATCCTGCCAAACCGGAAAAGAACTCTCTTGGGTTGATTTTGCAGCAGCGGTCGTATCAGGGAGAAAGATTACGTCTATGCTACTTAATCCTCAAGAATGTAGCTGTGAAAATCCACTTTTAACATAACCATGCACCATAACAATGTTAGGAATCGCCAAATAGAAATCACAAAGGGCGTTGGAAATAGTAATAACAATGTAAAGAATGAAGACATTAATCGTGTACCACACAACAACCAAACAAAGAAAGAATGAAAAAATATACAAGTAGGATGAGATCCAATTGCACCTTATTACCCTTGGAAGAATTAACCATGCATCATCGGGAACTAATAGATGATCAGCAATATTCCATATCAAGTCTGAAGCTTGAACTAGAAAAAAATGAGACAACGTTAAACAAGAAAAGTCATATAATGTGACTAATAAAATCCATTTAAACAACTTTAAATTAATTCCTTAAGGGAGAGACTAAACTTGGGAAAAAAGGAGTAAGGATACCGTCACCAACAGGAAAAGTTGAACAAGACAAGATGTGATATGTAGAGTTTAGGGGTTGAAACATGAGGGGATCTTGGAACTGTTCAAAGAGCATCACCTTGTTACCATTCTTCGAAATTGCCTCAAGGTGGAAGAGCTTAGAATTATCAGGATGCATATAGTAAGTGGGGTTAATCTTGTTCAAGTCAATGGAGAACATCTTGTCCATTTTCAATAATGCCCCTCCAGTGTTGTGGTTTGTGAGCCTCCAAACGTGTTGCATGCCATCTCCATTTGTCTCTAAAGCCCACACAAGACGACGGTCATCGTCTATGCTGCCGAAGTCCATATCAACAACAGATGATGATGATGTCTCAATAATAGGATTTGGAATGACTCGAAACATCTCCATGTGAAGATCAAAAGCAATCAATTTCGTCGCGTCTAGGTGTATCCAGTAAAGCCATCCGTTTGAAAAAGTTGGTAAGTTGTTGTTGCTTAAGCGATGATCAGGAAGAGGTGGAGTCACCTGCCTCCATTGCTTGACTCCAAAAATCGAAAATCTCGCATGATAAGGTGGTGTCGTACTTGTTAGTGTTATGTAACCACACTATTTTGTATGTTCCAGTAACGTAGTCTTTTCCAAATCCAGGAAAAGCCCTCCAGCTTTGGAACTCTCTCTAATTACTTCTTCGCCGTCCTGTCTTTGAAGACGACGTTATCTTTCCCTTTTCGTGGCTCTTGCTCTCCTCCATCGATGATAATAAGTATTCTCTCCCATGTGTCTTGATGCGTACTACTTTTTCTTTTCTATCTTTCTAACGACAACGTACCAAGACCAAGTAATATTGCCTTCTTCGTGTCTTCAATTGTCATCTCATGATCTTTGCCTCCAATTTATAGACACTGTATATTGGCTTCTCCTACCGACAATCCAACTCCAAAACCCTGTTGACAATTATTTTGTGAGATATAGTTGTAATTTATTTTTATTTTTTTATTTTTTATTTTATCAAAAAAGTTGATTTTAATTAGAAAGTCTTATCACATACGATAGTTATATAGATTTCAAAACTGAAAAGAAATATGATGGTATTTTATAAATCAATTATCATGATTTTTTTTTTCTATAGAAAAACAATTGATTTTTCCTACAGTAACACAGTATATATATTGAGTATGTGCTGATAAAAAATTTTAATTTAGGTGATCATTTTCTTAATTGCTGTTAGCAAATGAGAAAATGTTGAAGTACAAATTTTTTCATTTATAGTAATCAATAAACAGAAACAGATATAAACGGTTAAACCATTAAAAGAGAACCGGAACGATTCTTGGTATTTAAACCGAAAATAATTCCACAAACAGAAACAAATTCATTATCACTGTGTTGTGAGTTTTGGTTTATTATCCGGTTCGTAACGGTCTCTTGATTAAGTCATTAAAATAATAATCTGGTGCGTCTTATCCAAAAAAAACCTGTAAAACCCTCTCACCATTCATCCACTGATTTCACAATCTCACAATTCACAGCGAAGAAGATGCGATCTTCGTTACTAGTTTCGAATCCTCCATTTCTTCCTTCTCTTATCCCTCGCTACAGTTCCAGAAACTCCTTCAGACGTAGCAGAGAACGCTTCTCCTCCTTCGCTGAGTCTCTTCGTGTTTCTCTTCATGGAATCGGAAGAAACATCGAGGTTACTTTACTTGATTGTTTTCTTCCTCTCATTCGAAATGATGTGTTTTGAATTCAGTTTTGATTTGGGTTTTTTTTGTTTTTGTTGTCTAGGCCGCTCAAGGAGTTCAATTCGATGGTCCGATTATGAGTAGAGATGATGCTTTAGAGGTGAATTTGGATGATGACTTAATGGTTCAAGTGTGTGTCACTCGTACTTTACCTCCAGCTTTGACTCTTGAGCTTGGCCTTGAGAGTCTCAAGGAAGCTGTTGACCAATTGAAGACTAATCCTCCCAAGTCATCTAGTGGCGTCTTCCGATTTCAAGTATGACTCATCATATCCACGCTTTCGTGTTAACTCATTCATGGTAATGCAAATGTTAATCTGCGTTTCAATGAATTTGTAGGTGCCTGTGCCTCCAAGGGCAAAAGCGTTGTTTTGGTTTTGCTCTCAACCGACGTCGTCTTCTGGTGTGTTTCCTGTGTTTTTCCTCTCTAAGGAAACCGAGGAGCCTTCTTATAAATCACTCTATGTAAAGGAACCCCATGGGGTTTTTGGGATTGGGAATGCATTCTCTTTCGTTCATCCATCTTCATCCGACTCCAAAGGACATATCACGAGGAAAACGTAAGCATGTTCTCTTTTGGAATTGGTACTGCACTCTCTTTTGTACTTAGTTTGGTTAGTAAGAATGTGCTTTAGTCTAATGTATGCATATTCTAAAAGTGCGAAGCTAACTAACTTCTGCAGATTCCTCTCAGATGAATCAGCTACGGTGACGGCCTATGGATTTCCAGATATTGATTTCAACGAATACTCTACTGTAAATAGCAAGGATGACTCTTCTTACTATTTCGTTCCTCAGGTGAAGTAGCATTGACTTAATCGTCTAGCTGTTGAACTGTGTCACTTTATTTGATTTACATGGTACTAAATTGGGGTTAGGGTGGTAGTTAATGTGATCCCATTGTCTTTGGTATCTAAATTGGATCTAGGGTAGCGGTTAATGTGCTTGTAGCAAGTGTTCTTACATTGTACATGATTTGATTGTCAAAATTTCAACAGATTGAGTTAGATGAGCGTGAGGAGATCTCTATATTAGCAGTTACACTGGCATGGAATGATTCTCTCTCATACAGATTCGACCAAACGATTAGTTCATATGAGAAATCCTTTCTTCAGGTATGTTTATGTTTCCAACATTTTCTTTTCTAGCACTTCCTTTTGTATCTATAATTATATCAATTAACAGTACGATTCTGAAAGCAATTCTAAGCATTGTGTTATCTCTTGAGGAAACTAAACAATATATGCAGAACTGTGCCAAAGTTGATTATTAATTTACTGGAATAAGGGAACCAAGTCTTCACATTCTTCGTCATTGTGAAAAAATTGTTCCTATACTGATTGTGTTCAAAGGTATAAGAGATGATGACATTAGAATATAACAGCCTTGGCTAGAGCACAAATTGTGCAACTTTCTGCACTCCAGAAAGTTAGAAAGAAGTAAGATTATATGTGCTATATAAAGCTGAATTCGGTGACATCTCATCACCTATAAGTAGTTACTTATATGTGCTTGTGGTTTGGAAGCAACGCTAAAAAGTTTGAAAGCATTAATTCGAAACAAAATACAATTTCTCTGTGGAATATGACTTTATCATCTGAATTCTTTAGTTAGAATTGATTAATTGAAACCTTTTTAGTGCAGATTCGTTTTATATCTGTCACTCAAATGAAAAGTTAAATACTTTTTGGTAGTTACCATTGGTTCCTATGCAATTCTTGGATATGTCTGTTTCTTCTTTGTCCTGTTTTTCTCACTTTTTATTCATTTTCTTGCAGGTTTCTTGTCATTTCTGCCCAAATTTAGAGGAGAACTGGTTCAAACATTTAAAAAGTTCTCTAGCAAAGTTTAGTGTACAAGAGATACATCCAATTGAGATGGTACACACTTTACCTAAGGTTCTTTGTCCCCAATTTTTAAATAGCTAAACAAGATGCAAAGAATAGATCTGATTATTTCTTCTATCATTTATCAAACTGTATCCTACTGTTTTATCTTCCTCATCTTTGGAGAGTCACTTAAACCTCATTGAATATTAATAAATTTAGCAATCCGTGTTCCATTTGGGTCTGCTTTAGATGACTCTCAGTCTCAGGCGAAATCAGTGAAGTTTCTTTTACAATATGGTTTAACCCGCTTGACCCGCATGGATATTACTTAATAATTTTTTCTGGACAAAGCTTGTCAACTTAGTTCATCCCACTCATCATTATGCTCTTTTTTCCGCAGGAGCATATGGGTTTTTTTACACTTTCTGAGATAGATCATAATGACGCCAAGGAACTGGTATCTTCTTTACCCTGGTAATTTCCATCCCTGTATTTCAGAATTTAATTATCGTCCTTGAAGCTCCTCCTTTGGAGTTTATTTTCTTTAGATGCTCTGGATTGTTTATGGTTTGATTTGCCATCTTTTGTTGCAGAAAAATATCCGATTGTCAACTCAGTTCCATTGCAAGCTTTCACCTGGCGTTGTTTTCTCTAACAACATGGTATGTAGAACTATAAATACGGCCATCATTCTTTTTATCTCTTTGATGGTTAGGCCTACTTTTTGTGGTTCACTCATGGTAATTAAGCTCAGAGATTTAGGACTGTCTAATGGCTTGTGAATTTTGAACCTTGAGGTTTTCTTGTTAGCGTCAAATTTTAAGAAACAAATATAACTAGGATGCATTGGACTTTCCAAAAAGTGAAAGTCTTGGATGGTATAAATTCTCAAGTTTTTTCCTTGTATATATTGCTATCAGCTAAATCAGGAGGATGAAGTGAGAAACTTCTTGAAAGATGAGGCTAACATCAATGCTGTCTGGGCATCAGCTATAATTGAAGAATGCACTCGTCTTGGTTTGACGGTGAGCTGAACTTGTCAATCATCTGTAATATCATCTCAAATTTGATTGATTTTTTTCACAACATACTGCCACAGTATTTTTGTGTAGCACCTGGATCGAGGTCTTCCCATCTTGCAATTGCTGCTGCCAACCATCCCCTTACAACATGTCTTGCATGCTATGATGAAAGATCTCTTGCCTTTCACGCTATTGGTTATGCTAAAGGATCTCTCAAACCAGCAGTCATTATAACATCATCAGGAACTGCCGTTTCAAATCTTCTTCCAGCGGTCAGAGTTCACTAAATTATTTTATTAGCTCCTTGCAAGCTACATACTTCACCAAATGCAGTTGCGCACATGCGCTCCCTTTTGGTTATTTTTTAATGATTTTTGACAAATACAGGTGGTTGAAGCCAGTGAGGATTTTATACCACTGCTACTACTTACTGCAGATCGTCCTCCTGAACTCCAGGGCGTTGGGGCAAATCAAGCAATAAATCAAGTAAGGTCAAGATAAGACCTTTCTTTGAGATTATATACTTGCACAGTTGGTTTTGTTTGCGTGTTCTGTTTCTATATTTTTCAATTTCATTTTTTTTCTCTGTCCCAGATAAACCACTTCGGTTCATTTGTCAGATTCTTCTTCAATCTTCCTCCTCCAACTGATCTTATTCCTGTCCGGATGGTCCTTACTACTGTAGACTCTGCTCTACATTGGGCAACTGGTTCTGCTTGTGGACCAGTACATCTCAATTGTCCTTTTAGAGATCCACTTGATGGTAGTCCAACAAATTGGTCATCAGACTGCTTAAAGGGATTAGACATGTGGATGTCTAATGCTGAACCATTCACAAAATATTTTCAATTACAAAGCCTTAAAAGCAATGGTGTAACAAGTGGCCAGATTACTGAGGTTTTACAAGTAATCAAAGAGGCTAAGAAAGGTCTCCTTCTTATTG